TGCCTTGGCAGTCACACGATACCTACTGTGAAACATGGGGGTGGAAACATCATGCTTTGGGGCTGTTTTTCTGCAAAGGGACCAGGACGACTGATCCGTGTAAAGGAAAGAATGAATGGGGCCATGTATCGTGAGATTTTGAGTGACAACCTCCTTCCACCAGCAAGGGCATTGAAGATGAAACGTGGCTGGGTCTTTCAGCATGACAATGATCCCAAACACACCGCCCGGGCAACGAAGGAGTGGCTTTGTAAGAAGCATTTCAAGGTCCTGGAGTGGCCTAGCCAGTCTCCAGATCTCAACCCCATAGAAAATCTTTGGAGGGAGTTGAAAGTCCGTGTTGCCCAGCGACAGCCCCAAAACATCACTGCTCTAGAGGAGATCTGCATGGAGGAATGGGCCAAAATACCAGCAACAATGTGTGAAAACCTTGTGAAGACTTACAGAAAACGTTTGACCTCTGTCATTGCCAACAAAGGGTATATCACAAAGTATTGAGATTAACTTTTTTCTTATTGACCAAATACTTATTTTCCACCATAATTTGCAAATAAAGTCTTTAAAAATCAGACAATGTGATTTTCTGGATTTTTTTTCTCATTTTGTCTCTCATAGTTGAGGTATACCTAGGATGAAAATTACAGGCCTCTCTCATCTTTTTAAGTGGGAGAACTTGCACAATTGGTGGCTGACTAAATACTTTTTTGCCCCACTGTATATATTATATTATTTTGTTTGCTTTTTATTATTAAATACATTTTTTCATTATAATTTTCATTATTCATTTTTATTCTAAACGTTTTATTTGTGTATTAAATTCATCTGTTTTTATCACTTTTGAATAGGTGTAAGGGCCATTTGGAGCTTTCAGTTTTAGAACAAGACTATTGAACAGATATATTTTGATATATGGTTAAAAGTATGATTTACGAAAGTCACTTTTAGACTTTCTATACAGTACCACTTGGTAGATTAATATTACAGGGCTGCATCGTTTTAGAAATCATATATTTCTTAGTGTTAAAGGTAACTAAGTGTAAAAAAAAAAACATTTCCGTCAAGTAAATTGCAAGTTGCTCTAATTTCCACTTCACTACAGTAGAAGCCAACACTCTGTATGCAGCAGAGATGGAGCACGCATCATGTTTAAATCATCACACACACAGCCGTCAGGGTGGCCCAGCTGCACACCAACACTCACTCACTCACACACACAAACACACACTGCTCTGTATCTGACCTCTAACCTCTGCCCTCCCTGCAGACATGGTCCCCCCAGCAGAAGACCATCATGCAGAGAACAGTGAGAGAAGAAGGATATGAATGCACCAGGATCTTGATGGAGATTCTGCGGATAGGGTTGAAGGGACTGAAGATGTAGAGAGCGGACGTGGCATTGAAGCGGAAAATGGCCTTCCCTTTGTTCAGGACTATGAAGGTCTGCAGGAGAGACAGAAAAACAGCTTTTTTAAAGTTTTTATTTCAGTTAGAGCAACTTACTGTTTAACTGTCAAACTAACTAACTAACTGTCTAACTTACTGTCTAATTTACTAACGATCTAACTAACTAGATACATTATTAATAATAATAATAATAATAACAATCATAATAATAAAATTAATTATACATGAAAAATACGTAAAAAAATACGTAAAAATACGTAAATAAAAAAACAGGGTGCAAAATATTTGAATATTACCATATTTTAAAATATGTGCAAAGATGCACCAAGAACATATTTCTCTATAGCTTTTACTAGCTTGCCTGTTCTCTGCTCTTCAGTGAAGTAGGCTGCCAAAGGGTCGATTTATCTTCCAGGGATTCTCCAAAAGGAAAGACGGGGTACTTCCAAACAAACACACACACACTCTCACTGGGTCACCTACCCTCTTGCCTTTGAAGTAGTACTGGTCGATGTCCTCCAGGGGAACGCCAACCAGATGAGACGGGATGTCGGCAAAGATTCGCGGCAGCTGTTTCCCTGCCTCCAGGTCGGGCCGGCGCCGGGGGAGCACCACGTCACCCAGGTCCTACACACACACACACACACACACACACACAC